GTACTAATGTCCGTATTGAGTAGGTCCCTGGCAGTCGGTACTACCTCTTGTTCTTTTTGTTGAGGTGATTTTTTCCGTCTTGTCATTTTGTGCAGAGGAGAATAGATTAATGAGAGAACAAAATGCTAGCAGAGTAACAACGTCCCCAGAAAATATACTCTAAACAAATCAGAAAAGACCTGAAGCAGTGGGAAAAGAAAGGGAAAGAGAGAAAAAAGAGAAAGAAAAAAAAAGAAAAAGAAAAAGATAAAAACAAAAACAAACAAAACAAAACAACAACAACAAAAAAAACAGAGTGTGATCAAATATGATCAGGCTGGTAATATAGATCAGTGCCACACACTAGATTTTGGGGTGTATTTTGGTCTTTTAGGAGAAAGTGCCTCCCAAAATTTTAAAGAAAGAAAAACTTATATATGTACAAAAATAAGGGTTGATATGATGAAGGGATGGAATATGACTGTAAAGATGGAAATTATAAAAAATTTTATAAAAGGAATTGATAAGAAGTTGTTTGAAAAAAGAAAGAAGAGGATTTAAAAAAGAAAAAAGAAAAAAAAAGGGAGAGGATGTGATCAGGCAGGGGAATAGAAAACACCATATACTAGAGATTTAGGGTATATTTTAATCTGTTAGAAGAAACTATCTCAAAATTTTAAAGAGAGAACAACTTATATATATAAGCCAAAAATACGGGTAACTACTATGAAGGGATAGAATATGACTCTAAAAATGAAAAATAAAAATGATTTTTTTGAAAAAAGGGATTGATAAGATGTTGGTTGAAAAAGGGAAAAAGAAAAATTCAAAAAGAAAAAAAAAAGACAGTTAAAAAAAATTAACTTTGAAAGACTAAAGAATCATGGTAAAAAAGCCGTGAATTCTATGTGCAGTATTCCCCTAGCGCTGGAGTTCTGCGGTTCTCCTTGATCGGTAAACTTGGCCTTGGCTGGCTGTTCTCGCTGATCTTCTGGGGAGGGGCCTGTTGCCGTGGTTTCCAAATGTCTTTGCCGGAGGCGGAATTGCCCCGCCCTTGCCCCAAGTAATCTGCTTGGGTTTGCTCTCCGGGGCTTTTGTTCCCTGCGAGCTTTCCGTACAGCTTTGGAGGCGGAGAGTGAAAATGGCGGCCTCCCAATCTCCGCCCTGGAGGAGCCGAGAACTCGGGGCCCGCTCCTCAGTGAGCCCCCAGAGAAAAGCCGTCAGTCACTCCCGTCTCCCCGGTCTCCGGCCGCACTCCGTGCTCACCCCGCCTGTGACCGCGCGTTTCTATCTCTGGCACCCGACCCCGGGTGGAGTCTCCAAACCCAGCAGATCCCTGCGGTGCACTCCCGCGTGGCTCCTCCCGGGGGAGGAAGGTGAGTCTCCCCGGATCTGCCGCTTGTTGGGTCCCTGCTGGAGGAGCAGGGGCCCGACTGTGCCACGGATCACGGTTTATGACAACCCCGAGCTGAGAGCCCGCGCCTGGGCTCCGCCTCTGCAGCCGGCTTCCCTGCTCCTTTACCTGGGAGCTCTGCCACCCTCAGGCACCCCCGGTCTTTCTGTGACCCCGAGGGTCCTGAGACCACACTGTCCCGGAGGGTTCCACCCCCCGCTTAGCCACCAGAGTGACGTCCCTCGGCGGAGCAGACTTTTAAAAGTTCCGATTTTGTGCTCCGCGGCTCAATCACTTGCCAGAAGCGGCCGATGGAGCCCCTCCCCCGCCGTCTATCCTCCCGAATATCGCCTCGGATTCACTTCTCCGCACGTCCTACCTTCCAGAAAGTGGTCGCTTTTCTGTTCAGAGAGTTGTTGCTCTTCTTTTCTTCGATCTCCTGTTAAGTTTGTAGGTGTTCAGAATGGTTTGATCCCTCTCCAGCTGAATTCCTGAGAGGAGACGAAATCCAGGTCTCCTACTCCTCCGCCATCTTGCTCCGCCCCCCAATTTTTATGTATTTTTTTAAGATATGTCTTTTGTATGCAGGACTATTTTTGTCTTTAATTTTACCCAATCTGCAAGTCTCTGTTTCTTAATTTTAACCATTCACACTTATTGTAATCACTTACATGCTTGGACTTTTCCCTGCCATCTTAATTTGTGTTTTTTATTTAGGTTATTGCCATGCTTTCTTGGTCTGTTTCTTCTTTCCTTTCTGCACATGTGCACAGATCAGGTTTCCTTAATTCCATCTTTCCCCTCTAACATTTTGGAAGTTATAAATCCTACTTTTATTCATTTAGTCCTAACACTCAAATTTTTAACACAGAGTTTTAAACTGTCATGTTTCTGTGTCAAGCTATCAGCAATCACATCCTCCTCCAAAAGGAGACAGAAGCCTTAAGTCTCCATGTGCTTACCTCCAGTTTCTCAATCCACAATATCTCCAAAAAGATGTTGACATCATCTGGATCTAGCTCCATATTAATGTTAATTAATTTTATAGAAAATACTGATTCAGGTTTAAAAATAGCTGTCTCCCCTCCAAAGGTTATTTTTTTAATTAAAATATAATTCACATACCCTAAAAAAATTCACCCTTTTAAAAGTTTACAATGCAGTGGTGTTTAGTATACTCACAAAGCTGTACAACCATCACCGCTGTCTAATTCCAGAACATCCAGAACATCATCCCCCAAAACCCCTGTATCCATTATTAACAATAGCTCTTACCAACTCTTCTACTTTGTGTCTTTCCTGGTTGTGTCTTCTTCCTGGTTCTTTTTCATTTTATCAGAGACCACTACCCAGTAAGTCTTTCAAATAGGATCATGAGTGGTAAGTTTCTGAACCCTTAAATATCCAAAAGTGTCTTCACTTTGCCCTTTGATAGTAGGGGCAGATGCCTTCATTTTCCCCTGCCAGTCAGCCCTGCCCTGCTGTTCCTGGTCAGTGCCTTAGCTGATCACTGTCTCACCATCCTGAGGCCTCCTTCCTGCTTCTCGTATTCCTTCTCGCCTGAAGCTCTTGAAATGCTTCCTCTTTGCTGGGCATCCTCTTCTATATGCATTTTGAACTATGATGTGCTCCTTCAACTTAATCCCATCTGCCTTTCACCATTCAAATATTCCCCATAATTTCTGGTCCACCAAGGATGAGTGTCCTTTCCCGTTTTCAAATGCTATTTCATGCATACATACATACCCCTCCACACACACACACACACATCCATTCACTTGTTCCTAACACACATATTCTGCCATTTCTGGGCATTTAGGGTAGAAGGCTGAGATAGTGCTCATTCTCCCTTAACTGCCTAATCTCTTAAGGACCTCGTTAAAATAGCAGAAAATAGGGACGCCTGGGTGGCTCAGTCATTAAGCGTCTGCCTTTGGCTCAGGTCATGATCCCAGGGTCCTGGGATCAAGCCCCGCACTGGGCTCCCTGCTCGGTGGGAAGCCTGCTTCTCCCTCTCCTGCTCCCACTCCCCCTGCTTCCGTTCCTGCTCTCACTCTCTGTCAAATAAATAAATTAAATCTTAAAAATAAAAATAGCAGAAAGTAGCTTCAAGTTTTGGTCAAGGTTTGTCATCTGCTATTCTACCAAGCACTTGGTACAGGCACAGACCCCCAGAGCAGTCAGAGGTCTTTCAGATCAGGTTTCCAAACCCCCACTTTGCAAGCGAGACAGTGGGCACCTGGGAAAGTGCAATATCTTGGCCAAAGACTCGGAGCTATTTAGTGACGATGTCTGGACTAGTTTCCATGTCTCCTGTTCTCCCCACTGCTGCCCCCTGGATCCTTAGCACACAATCTCACTCCCCCTGCAGGGAAGGCCAGGCCTTTGCCTGGTAACTGGTCACCCCTCTCCTGGCTTCAGTGTTGTCATTGTCCACAGAATTTGAAAGAAAAGAAAAACCTGAATATACTCCAAATCAGTCATTAACTCACATGGAAGAAAATAAGAAAAACAAACCAAGAAGATTTGTCCTCTGGATGTCTTATGAAGATGTCCCCCCCCCCCCAAAAAAAAGGGCACCAAGTGGAAATTGCTGAGGGTGATGCTTATTACGTCCTATGTGACTAATAGACCATAGTCTATTGGTTTGGGGTTTGCCTTTTTCTTCTATAGGTATGTGTGGTTTTTTCACTGTTTTTATTTGACTACGTTCCTGCATACGGACAGCAGAGCTAATATGAAGAGTTTCAACTAAAGAAATTGTTAGAGGCTTTTATAAAGATAGTAAATTATTTAAGGTTATTAAGTAGATTATTTAAGATGTATATGGATCACAGCTTTAAAATGTTGTAATCAGGAAGTATTAAGAGTAAACCAGACGTGAACAGGAAACATTTTACAAAGTAATAGAAAGAGAATAATTTGTGAGCAGTTATACACATCACGTTTCTGTAAACTAACAATACATACCAACATGTGTAATTGTCTGACCGCCCTCTTTGTGTGACTACCCTCTCGAGCTTCCCACCAAAGGGGGAAGTGAGAGGCTTGGACCCTGCAGTCAGAGGTTTCCTGCTGGCCACCTGTTGGGAGGGCTGACCTTAGGGGACATTGTCCCCAGTCTGGGATCTGCTCAGCTTTGTGTGTCCCAAAGAATTTTAATGTAGCCCCTCGTCCACAAGTGTGCAGTCATTTCCAGTATCCACCCGCTGAGACCGGCAGATCAACCAGAATGATAGTTCATTGTTTTGCAGTGAGAAGTGTCAGAATCTACTGGACAGGAACAACCAAATTGACAGGCTGATGTGTCCTTCTGTGTGTGCCAGGGGGAGGGGGCGTCTAAAGAAGTGGCCTAAAAGAAACCATTTCAATCTCACACAGAGGGCACCACGATCTCGGAGACCAGCATCCTGGCGCTGTGATAACTCAGGGCACCCACGCTCCATTCCCGACACAGAGCTCTTGGGAAAACTGCCATCCACCTGTTACATCTTACCCAGTAACATTTTCCAGGTGTCCCTGGGCTCGTCCTAACTGAATTGATGATAGAAAACACTCATAAACATCCCTTGATGTTCCTGTCCCCTCTCCAGCATGTGACACCCATCCTTCTCTGATTTTTCTCCAGTGTTCCATCGAGTGTGGGAGTGGGACGCAACAGAGGGAGGTGATTTGTGTTAGGAAGAATGCAGACACCTTTGAAGTGCTGGACCCCTATGAATGTTCCTTCCTGGAGAGACCCCCCAGCCAGCAAGCATGCCACCTCAAGCCTTGCGGGGCCAAATGGTTTAACACAGAATGGAGCATGGTAAGTCATGGTGCTCTTGACAGAGATTGCATTAGTACATCATTCTTCTTTCCTCCCAGAGACAGTCAGACCGCCTACTACGTGCCAGAATGACCTACTCTAGACTATCACTTTGGGGGCACCCCTGGAAGCAGCCTGCTTGGGGAGGAGCCAGAGGCTGGGACCATCTTGATCTCTAAACTGGAGAGGCCATAAAGCAGTGACTTTCAATCTCAGTGTGCATTAGAATCAACTGGGATCTTGTTTGAAAAGATGGATTCCGGGTCCACCCTAGCCGAGGAATTTGAATTTTGAACAAACTCTTTAGGTGACTTGGATAAAGGTGTCCTTGGACTGCGTTTTGAGAAATGTTGTTGCAGCAGATTAATGGCTGAAGGAGTTCAAGGATGCTCTTGAGGATACTACATGGTGCAGTGATCTCATTGTAAAACTCACTGAAGGAATTTCTGTCAAGCCTCAGGAACCTCTGTGTGTGTGTGTACTTTTTTCCTCATCCTGTAGACATTATGGATTTGTAGATGATGAGATTGATCCTATTTTTCTCTTTGAATTGGCCGCTTGGAAACTCAGAACCAAAATTGTGGTCCATCTCTAAGAGAGAGTTTATCAGACCTCACAGAGTGGATTTTGTATGTTAATGTGCCCCCAGCTTTTCTCTCTCTTTCCTACTTTTATCTTCTTTTTTGCTCCAGTCTTCTCACCTTTTTTTCCTTAAATCTTGTAAACCATTAAGTATTTCTTAAGACCTCTCAAATCCTTTCTGTGAGGAGGGAGGGTAGTGTGTAAATGAAGAGACAGAGAGAGAAAGAGTTAATACAGAAGTTGATGATTAAGGAACAAAATGGGAAAGGATGAAAATAGGGATAAAAACAATTTTTTTTTCAAAAACCTTCCTAAGACAGAAAACTGCCTAAGGCATCATTGCTGGTGACCATGCCTTAGACACATGAGGGGTTGGCGGAGGTTCGTTCTGCCTTTTGTCACTGAAGATCATCAAGCAGAGCCTGTAGGGGAAGCCAGAGTAGAGGCCAGAGCCTTTCTCAGAATCATGCAAAGGTGATAAAAGGGATTTTGCTTATGAAATATATGTATGAAAGCTGAGAATTCTGTTTCCCAATAGTGTATGTCTACTCCAGTGATAACAGACTTTGGGCACGGGTAAACCACACCTCAGAGGCAAATGGGAACAAAGCAGGTGTTGAGTTTGAAAGGTGTTTTGTCAACTTCTGGGAAATGGAATTCAATTGTTTTGATATTGGCCACGGCCTTTGAGAATGCAAGAACAGATCACTGTGTTATTTTGCCCTTTGGTTTGGAAGGTCTAGAAGGGCCAAGTTCATCAGGCCAAGTCAGAGGAGATGACCTCCCAAAACACCTGGCTGGAAACAACCCAGATGTGCCTCCACAGGCCAGTAGATAAACAAATAGCAGTACATCCCGAACCACAGAAGAGTACTCAGCAACAAGAACAAACGAGCCGACATGGTTGAACTTCAGATGCACTTTGCTAAGTGAAAGAAAGACCCCAAGAGCTACATATTGTATGATTCCTTTTATATATTCTGAAAAAGACACAACCACAGGGACAGAGACCACATCAGTGATTGCCAGAGGATGGGGTGGGATGAGTCTTGCTACAGAAGGGCAGGGCAAGAGGATCTGCTGTGTTTGATGAAACTCTTGGATCTTATTTGCAGCAGGAAATACACGACTCTATGAATTTGTCAAAACTCACAGAACTGTGCGCCACCACAAAAAGTGACTTTTTCTGTATGTAAATTAAAAACAAGTAAACTGAAACAAATATGAAATAAATGGTTATGATAACAGCAAAGACAGTGAAGGAAGAGAGATATCTTTGAATATGCCTTGTTTTATAAATTTGAGTAAACTGATATTTAGACAATCCTAAAACAAAATTAGATTTGAACAAAGGAATCCCCCAAAATGGAAAATATAATGAAACAATTCAACCTAAATATGTATCCAGTTGGCAGCATCAGCACTATTGCAGGTGGCTTTAAAATAGTAATTTGGGGGCTCCTGGGTGGCTCAGTCGGTTAAGCGACTGCCTTCGGCTCAGGTCATGATCCTGGAGTCCCGGGATTGAGTCCCACATCGGGCTCCCTGCTCAGCGGGGAGCCTGCTTCTCCCTCTGACCCTCCCCCCTCTCATGAGCTCTCTCTCTCTCATTCTGTCTCAAATAAATAAATAAAATCTTTAAAAAAAAATAAAATAAAATAAAACAGTAATTTGGGGCGCCTGGCTGGCTCAGTTGGTTAGGCATCCGACTCTTGATCTCAGTTCAGGTCTTAGTCTCAGGGTCGTGAGTTCAATCCCCATGCTGAGCTCCACACCCAGTGGAAAACAAACAAAAACAGTAATTTGACTGTCTATCCTTGAGGACCAAGAGAATTAGAAAATGTTGACACTGTTTGCAATGACCGTATTTTTAGTGAGAGTGTCGTACCGTAATCTGAGATAGTTGAGTGGATAGTGAGTGCTAAAGTAAACAAGTAATTTACCTTATGATAACATGTATGATACCGTATTGACAATATGGTAGTAGCTTTCTGTCTTTCCCAGGATCCTTGGGAAACAGGATTCTCAACTCAGGAGAATGGAGATACACGTGAGATGGAAGAGGTTTAAATGAAAATCCTGTTTTCCCAAATTTGAATCAGAAACATCAGTATGAACTCACAAAATATCTTAAAAAAAAGTTCTTTCCCAGTTTTACCCATTTACCCATTGAAAGAGCCTAGAAACAATGGCCAACCCAGTAGCAAAAGGCGTGCCTATCAGCCAAAGTGTGGTTTCAGAATACCACTCTCCACCAAAAGCAACCAGGAATTCTTAGAGAACAGCTGATTCCAGGTTTGGGACTGTATACGTACAAATTAGATTAGAATATCTTTTTATCCCAGATGGCAAGGAAGTTCTCAAAGACAATTGAGTTCATGCCTGAAGGACTCAAGAACCAAGTTTTGAGGGCTCAGACTAGCCACTGAGGAGACATCAGTGAACATCAGTAAAGATATTAATTGCCATAGATTGAATGAAATACATCATATGTATTTAAACCCATCCATTTATAATCAGTGTATAATAATTAAAAAAAAACTAATTGGAGGATCCACCATTAGGGAAACCATCTCATTATTCTGAAGACTGATACATAAAGGAAAGTAATCAAGCATTTACCCCGTCTTTCCTAAACAAGCTGTACCACTGGGTGTACCAAAGAGCAAATCTAGGTAGGCATGGGGCAGGGATTATTTTCGTTTCCTAGCTAATAAAAGAAGAAGAGATGATAAGAGTTTTACCACCATTCTTCAACCACAGTGGATTAATAGATCTGGACATGGCACATCCGTGGCTGCTGACATCCCCAAACAGAGACAACCACACACATCCAATGAAGCAGTCTCACCACAAAAACAAATAAACCTGCACCCATTAGGGCCTCTTCTATACCCAACTTCCAATTTACAGGAAATGCAGAGGACAGAGAAAGATGTTAAACTGTAACGATGTAGATGCAGTCCGCAAAATCCTGACTATGGGAAACTCTACAGGACAAATGACTCCTTTCCTCTAGATAATAAAGTACAATGGGGAAAAAAGGCAATGGGGGCGAACCTGTGGATTAAAAAGAGTCCTAGGAGCGCCTGGGTGGCTCAGTCAGTTAAGCGTCTGCCTTCGGCTCTGGTTGTGATCCCAGGGTCCTGGGGATCGAGCCTCACGTCGGGCTCCCTGCTCAGCAGGAAGCCTGCTTCTCCCTCTGCCTGCCACTTCCCCTGGTTGTGCTCTCTCTCTCTGTCTGTCAAATAAATAAATAAAATATTTAAAAAAAAAAAAAAGAGTCCTAAAAGGCCTGTCGGTCAACTGCAATGTGCGGGCCTGTTGTGGATCCTGATTCAAAAAGAAAAAAAAAGGTATTAAAAACTTGAGATTCACAAGAGAAGTGGAAATGGGAACTCTGAATATATTTTTGAAGATAAGGACATGTTAATTTCTAGGTGTAATAATACAATTGTGGTAACTTTTTAAGAGTTTTGTCTTTTAGAGCTACAAACTGAAATATTATAGAAGAACTGATGTCTAGATTTGCCTCAAAATAGAAGTGGAGTAGACATGGGTGGGGTACAGATGGGACACAGTTGGCCGTGAGTTGATCGTTGTTGATGCTGGTTGATGCATGGGAGTTTGTTTTAGTGTTTAGTCTCCTTTCGAAGATGTTTGAAATTTTCCAGTATCTGCCCTTCCAGTGTGCTGAGCTAATGGACGGCCAAAAACCTACCCCTCTCTTTTTGTCACCATGCAGTGTTCCAAGAGCTGCCAGGGCGGCTTCCGGGTCCGCGAAGTGCGCTGCCTGTCAGATGACATGACCCTAAGCAATCTCTGTGACCCTCAGTTGAAACCAGAAGAGAAAGAATCTTGTAACCCTCAGGACTGTGTCCCTGAAGTTGGTAAGTAGGGATTCCTATCTCAGAAAACAAACCCTTCTTAAACCCCAGCAAGTTCCCTCGTATGAAAATGCCAAGCCCACAGTTGTGGGGCTCAGGGGGTCAAAACACTTTCAGTATGATAAGTTTCATAGTTTAAGATGACTGTCCATAGCTTGGGTGGTGATCCAAGCCACCCTCCAAACTTAAATGCAAATTGACTAAAATGGTAATGATTTCAGAGATTTGGTTCCATTATCTTTAAGGTCGAAGGAGTGAGATTTCAACTTTTAATTGTAGGTGCAAAACAGTGGAAGGAAGAAAATTAATAAGAAAGGTCTAAGCCTATTTAGAAAAAAGCGGTTAATAATTAAAAATAAGAAAACCTTGATATAGAACATAATAAGAAATGTGAATGGATAGAGAGACTAACTATTCCTGAATGGGAACACTCAGTACTGTAAAGAGGGGTCGCCTGGCTGGCTCAGTCTGTGGCGCATGAGATTCTTGATCTTAAGGTCATGATTTCAAGCCCCACTTTGGGTGTAGAGATTACTTAAAAAATAAAATCTTTTTAAAAAAATCTGTAAAGAGGATAAAAGAAGGTTCATGAGGTTCAACATATAATATCCTCAAGTATATTGCCTTATCATATACTTGAACACATTATAAAACACAGAAATTAAAACTATATGCTGAGTCAGGAAGAGACAGGGTTATGGGTGTTATAATACAGAATTCCGATATGAGGGAAGTGAAGTATGATAAAGGCCTAATTTTTTTTTAAGACTTTGTTTATTTATTTGAGAGAGAGCGAGAGCAAGAGAGAGCACATGAGCAGGCAGGAGTGGAAGAGGGAGAGAGAAGCAGGCTCCCCGCTGAGCAGGGAGCCCGATGCCGGGCTCAATCCCAGGACCCTGGGATCATGACCTGAGCTGAAGGCAGACGCTTAACTGACTGAGCCACCTAGGCACCCAATAAAGACCTAATGTTAAGGAAGTGGGGAGAGGAGAGACTTCCATTGCATTCAGATAATCAAAGATCCATTTGAAAAAAACAAAGCAAAACATTTTACATCTTGCTTTATGCCATATATACATAAATGCCTAAAGGATTAGAGACCTTTGCATAGAAAACACAATGTAGAAATACCAGAAAAGATAGATATTCTTGGGGTTGGTTAAGCCTTCATAAGCTAGACACAAAACTCAGAGACCTTATTGCTGAATGTAAAAACATAACATAATAAATTAAAAAGTTTTCTCCTGTTAAGGACATTGTAATAGTCAAGGTTCTCTAGAGAGCCAGAACCAATAGTATAGATGGGTGGATGGATGAGTAGATAGATAGATAGATAGATAATACATAGATGATGATAGATGATAGATAGATAGATAGATAGATAGATAGATAGATAGATAGATAGATAGATAGATAGATGATAGAAAAAAATTCATTATGACAAACTGGTTCACGTGAACGTAGAAGCGTAGAAGTCCCACAACCTACCAGTCACAAGCTGGAGACTCAAGAAAGCTGCTGGTGTAATTCAATCTGAGTCTTGAAGGCCTGAGAACCAGGGGAGCTGATGGTATAAATTCTGGCCCAAGGGCAGGAGAAGATGACATGAAATGTCCAGCTCAAGCAGTGAGGCAGGAAAGGGACAAATTCCTCCTTCCTCTGTTTGATGTTCTATTCAGGCCCTCAGTGAGTGAGTCCCATCTCCACTGGGGAGGGCCACCTGCTTTACTGGGCCCATCAATTAAAATGCTGACCCCATTCAGAAACACCCTCCCAGACACACCCAGAAATCATGTCTCATCTGGGCTCCCCATCATCCATACATTTGACACATAAAATTAGCCATCACAGACATCGTAACCCAAGTTGGAAGAGAAGAAAGGAAAAGAGAGGGACAATGAGCAACAATTGTGCGAAAAATGTGAAACATACCTTATTGGAATGTGATACAACCAATATAAGAAGAAAATGTCCAGCCGGGAGCCAGGAGGAAGAAATAGTGAGAGAAGTAGTACAAGCTCCTGCTTGTAACTGAGCGTAATCTTTTCAGAGAACTTTGGCAATATCGCTCAATATGTAAAGTATGTGATATCTTTGACTCAGTAACTCCACTTCTAGAAATGTATACTGAAGATAGGCTCCTGGGTGGCACAGTCGTTAAGCATCTGCCTTCTGCTCAGGTCATGATCCCAGGGTCCTGGGATCGAGCCCCGCATCGGTCTCCCTGCTCAGCTGGGAGCTTGCTTCTCCCTCTCCCACTCCCCCTGCTTGTGTTTACTCTTTCGCAGTCTCTCTCCCTGTGTCAAATAAATTTAAAAAATGATAAAGATAGACTCTCAAAATTGTACAGATATACATATACACGAAGAATAAGGCTCAGTAAATTGTGTAGAATTAATAAATGAAGGAATTGTAGAATTTCTTGTAACTCATAAAAATTAGAAACAATTATATTTCTTCCAGTAGAAGGAAATGGTTAATTATGTTACTGTACACAGGATAGAACTGACATCTTCAAAAGAATGTGGTAAAACTGTATGTTATGATACATAAATGTATTCAATATATTTGTAATATCAAAAAGCAAGCAGCTAAAATTATGTCAGTTATTTTCCAAGTTAATCTATAAATTCAAGCAATGTTAATCAAAATCTAGACAGGGCTTTTCATAGAAAATCAGACAGACTGTGTCTAACGTTTACAGCAGAGACCCAATAATAGCCAAGGTAATTTTGGAGGAAGGATGTTGGGAACAATGTTGGGAAATGTATCTTACCATGTATGAAGACATACTGCACAAGGATAGACAAACAAATGGAACAGAATAGAGTGCCCCAAAATAAATCTGAGCATGTTATGGTGCATGATACATGGTCAAGGTTAACATTATGAATCCGGGGAGGAAACATGAACATTCAGTGCATGGTGATGAGACGATTGTTTATCCATATAGGAAAAAAACAAATTGAATTCCTACTTGTCACCACACACATGCACATCAATTCCAGGTGAATTATAAATGTGAGGAGAAATTTTTTTAACTCTTAGAAGAGAATATGGGGAAATATATATATCAGTGTAGGGAAGGATTTTGTAAATGAGAAACACAAATACCAAACCACAAATGAAAATATTATAACATCTGTTATATTAAAAATACTATCTTTTTAACAAATAACACTGCAGCAAAGTGATGAGAAAAGCCACAGGCGTGGAGAAGATATTTGTAACACATCTAATGAATAAAGGATCAGGATCCATTGTATGTCAAGAATTTCCATGACTCATTTGTTTTAAGTTAACTAAATTAGCAAGTGGTCAAAAGATAGGAAAAGCAATTCATAGAAAAGGAAACTCAAATGGCAAATAATATGATGATCTGTTCAACCTCCTTTGGGGGTAAGGTCACATCCACCAGATCAGCAAAAAAATAAAACACGCAGCATAAGCAAAAGAAAGCAAAAGCATTCTGCACAACTGACAAAAGGATAAATTGTTGCACCCACTTGGGAGAGCAATCTGATGAGAGCCAGTAGATTTGCAGATACCTTATGACCCAGCAAGACCCAGAGAGAGCATGCGTAACAGCTGTTTAAAGGGGCAAAGTTTGCAGTCGTAAAAAATTGAAAACTGTCAGTAGAAAATGGATCAATAGGTTGTAGAATGTACGATGGAACACTATTCAGTAATGAAAATGAACTCCCTCGAGCATTCGTTAAACATGAACGAATCACACAAAGTCACCGTTGAGCAAGTTGCCAAGGAATATATACGATCTGCATCATTTCTTTCTTTCTTTTTTTTTTTTTTTTTTTTGAAGCTGAAATGCCACATAGTGATTAGGGTACCAGCATTTCCAGTTCAAGTATAAAGACAGGATTGGGGATACTAAACACCACGTGTGGGGCTTGATTCCTCAGGAGTGAGGAGAAAGGGGGAGGTGGTCATGGAGTGAACTCTGGGAATTGTGTATGTCGGTGAGCAGCGAGACCACAGTCCACTGAATTATATTCTCTCTACCTAACTCTGTTACCATGTTTAAAAGAAAAGAAGAAGAACGGAAGCTCTTGGCCCACCCTACACCTCCCGTAGGTATTAAAGCAGGACCAGGATGGAAAGCCATGTCTCGCGCCCTTTCTCCTCCCGCTGGTCCCGCCTGGCTCTGTGCTCAGAGAGTCTTTTCTGTTCTCTGTTGCTGCAGATGAAAACTGCAAGGACAGGTACTACAACTGCAACGTGGTGGTGCAGGCGCGACTCTGCGTCTACAATTACTACAAGACCGCCTGCTGCGCGTCCTGCACTCGCGGGGCCAGCAGGCACGCGGGCTTCCTGGGCAGCAGATAACACCCCCGCGCCGCAGCAGGAGGGCAGGTCCGGGAGGCGGGGAGCAGGGGGGCTGGCCGGCCGCTGCTCCGCCGGGGGCTCCCCCCTCCCCCCTCCCCCCGTGCTGCCAGCCGGCGTAGTCACCACCCCCGCCTTCGGGGAAGCGTCCCCGTGGTGCCCCGGAGCCAAGCCACGTCGTCCTTTAGCATCGCCATAAACCCATGATCCCTCCTTGGGAGCCCTGGCGCCTGGTGAGGTGCTCTCTGAAAGCCAAGCGGTGGGGAGGGGGGTGCTCGTAGCTCTCCGTCAGCTCCCGTGCTAGCACTTTCTAAGTCAGCGAGTCGGGCCCTCATGCGCGGCTGCCTTGTCCATGGTGCTTCTGGCCTTTTCAATACCGGGGTCCCTCGGAGAGTCGGAAGAGGTGGCTCCCACCCCAGAGCCCCACTAAGCCTTGCTGAGACACCTGCTTCCCACTGTTGTCTCAGCCCGTGGTGCCTATTTGCATACACTCAAAGACATGAGGCTTTTTCCTGCCTCGTGACACAAGTATCTCCTGTCAAAGAGGGCGTGATTATTTCGCAGGTGTATTCACAGATACTAGATCAGTGGCGGCGCACAAAGTCCCGGAATGGGAGGCAGGGACTGAATCATTATCCCCATTTTACTGACAAGGCAACTGAGACTCAACTTAAGGAATTGACCTGCCGGGTATATTCACCTGTTCGGTGGCAGAGTTGAGTCCGACCACACAGCTCGCCTGCCTGGAAGCCTTAGGTCTACAAGATGCAGCTTCATTTCAGACCAAGCGACTGAGAAATTTCCCACTCAGCAATCAAAGCCCAGCTCTAGAAGTCTTTCCTCTGGCCAGAGGTCAAGACAGCATCCGCGGCACTCAGTTGTTTCCCACATCTCTTTCTGTTTATCTCTTCCCCGACAAGGTCCCAGATCCTGGTTACAGGACTCTGTGCAGGTTTTGTTAAACCCCATCCTTAATGGAATTACCCCTGACACAAGGAAGCCACTGGGGTAGCAAGGTGATGCCTGAAATTCTGATTCCGTTCCCAAGGGGATATGTGCCCCCCAGGGAACTGCACACCAGGAGTTCTCCAGCCATGGTGCCTCTCGAGTCTGTGCCCTGGGCTCTCCCACGTCCGTAGCCACCTACCCTGGGCTGGTCACCACACCTCACCCGGTGGAATGTCTAACCAACCGGTCTCAGCATAAAACCTGTGTTTATATTAGAAAGAGTCTTCCTTTGGTTTTTCCAGTATGATTTATGGATTTGTTTGTGATTTCTCATCCCTCCCTCCCACTACGACTCACAACCTATATCCCACCATCCCAGACTCGAGCACTAAGATCTGCATTCATGCCACTAGCCAGGGAGAGAGAGAGAGGGGCCATGGGCTCCTTCAGTGACAGCCACAGCGGCTGGGTCGTCCCCAGTGCCCTTCACCTAACTCTGCATTTCCAGAGGCCTCAGGCTGCAAGGGGGATGCAGTGCGTATTGAAAGGTAAACGATCTGAGAAGTCAATTAAAATGAAAGAATATGTGTGTGCGTGTGTGTATACACACGCACGCACACACATATATATACAGACAGTTGACCCCTGAGCAATGTGGGGGTTCAGGGTGCCAACCACCCCCTGCAGAGTTGAAAATCCATGTATAACTTTTGATTCCCCAAAAAGGTCCTAACAGCCTGCTATTGACTGGAAGCCTTACCAAGGACATAATCAATCAACACATATTTTTATATATCATATGCATTATATACTATATTCTTACAATAAAGTAAGCTAGAGAAAAGAAAATGTCATTAAGAAAATCACAAGGAAAAGAAAATACATTTACAGTGCAAGAAAAAAAAATCTCTGTATAAGTGGACCCATGCAGTTCAAACCCACGTCGTTCAATTTGATGATCACTTGAAGCTTTTGGAAGGAGTAGCTCCAGCCCGATCTGACCCGCTGTGTTCGGTCCTCGCTACCCTTGGGCTTTCAGAAATTCTATCTGGCCTTTCCATGGGTGCTCTTGAAGCTGGAGAGCTAGGTTCTTGTCTCACGGAGTCGAAGAATGAATCTCTCAGACAAAGGGGAATGAGTAAAGCGATAGAGTTCTATTAAGCAAGGATACAGATAAAGCTCTGTGAGTGAGAGGGGTCCCGCCAGGGTTGTCAACGTGGGCCTCCACTGACAGTCTTTTGTTTAAAACTGACCAGGGAGCTTGTGGCCTTATCATTCTTGAGACGTCTTGGTTTGCGTAAGGACTTAGTGATAACATCTTTAATGGCTTACTTCTTGTTTAGGGTCTGGTTATTCTTCGTTGGTCACAGGTGACTGTCATAAAAAAAGAGCCCCCACCCCCACCCCGGACACCCAGGGCAGGGCAGTCTGGTGTGTTCCCTTATCTCTGGTTTCCTTACACCTCTGCATTTTGGGGATTTCTGTGAGCCTGATTCCGTAGCCCACTACCTATCTCTCCCTACCTAGCTCCTCCTGTCCCTTACTCGTTCTTCTCTTCTTGGAGAGCCCAGCCACCATTCTGCAAAAGTACAGCCATCTCTACTTCTTTGTACACAGGGTCACTTGTGCAATATGGCAGCCGGCAGAGACCCGCATTCCCATGCCCACCAAGCAAAAAAAAAAAGACCAGAGAAGCCAAACGGCTGGTTTCTGCCCTGTGCCCTCTCCCTCTCACCACCTACTTTTGCTTTTTGTCACAATAGAAGCGTTGCCACATTTGAAGGATTCCTTGGAGGAAGCTTTCTTTACGTGCTAGAGGGGGGACGAAGATCAGTGGGTGGGAGAGCAGAGAAACACAAATTTCAGCTCACACTGAGGGAAAACCTTCAAGCCATCCAGCCTGCCCAGTAGAGGTCTGGGCCACCCTTCCTGGGTGACGCTCTGTCCTAAAGGGGGTTTCTTCATCAAGCAGGAGGTGAACATCCTAGGTCCTTCCAACTCGGGTTTCTCATGACTGGCTGGCTCAATACTGGCTTGGCCTCTTTGACATCTCTTTGGTGTCCTGTGGCCCCCAAATATTACCTAACAGTTGTTTAAAAAGGACAGGGATCTTCCCATGAGAATGGCCATCCTGCCAATGGCAGAACTGAATCAGAGCAAAAGGGCTAGTGCCGCGTCTTTAGTGGGGAAAAGTACCCAAACTAAGGGTCTTTTTTCTCTTCCAACAAATAGTTGAGCTGTTCTTGGAATCCATTCATCTCTGGAAAGGTTATAAATTACTAGGACAGGTGTTTTAATGACTTATTTGTCTTCAAAATCCAGTTTTTGCTAATTTCCTGGTTTCTTATGCCAACATCTAAATGCCTTTGTCCTTCACACAACACTTCTGAGAAGGTCCCTCAGTGTTTCCAGTGATAAAGTTCCTGGAGAGGGTTGGAGGAAAGCTCACCTTCTGACAACTCTCTCCACAGAGATGCCTCTTTCTCCCTTCCTTGGCACCCCCTTATCTCACCCTTTCTTTGTCATGATCTGCCACCTCCTTCTCAGCCCCCCTCCATGTTCCCTTAACAGGCCACTTGCAGAGTTGAAAGTTACATTTTAATGCTGTTTTTCTTTTTTCTGTGTCCTGGATTGCCTCATTGCCTGCTCTGGGTTTAAAAATTAGATGAACTGAAGGTGTTACCTGTTTTTTCAGAAAAGTCAACAAAGCTCCAACAGAAAGAGCTGGCTGTTCTACTTTCGCTTATTGGAAAAAGAAAGTGTGCCCCTTGCAGCCCAGGCAAAGGTCATTCAGTGCGCTCCAGCCTCCCACCCTCGCTGGGACTCGCATATTCCCCCAGAGGAAGGGAATAGCCTAAGACACAGTAAAGAAAGCTTGTAACCCTGGCCACTAGATGGAGCCGGGAGTCCTCTGAGTACATTAACGGTGCATCTGCAGGCAGAGAGAAATCCAGATAATACTAGTACCTTCTTAAACCTTCTTGGTTCTCTCTCGTGTTTAAGACAGCCATTTTAGAATTTGCATATTGATTTCCTAATGTAGAAGGCATAAATATAAGTGGCAAAAAAGAAACATGGCTTTCCTTAAAACAGGCTGAAAAATCAAACCTGGAAGAACCTATCTCAGCCTGGCAGCTGGAGGCCAACATCTGACACTTACCATATAAAACGTCTTTACTGTGGCTCTGATGGGAAGTTGGACACCTTACTGATGAAAGTAGTGGATGACATGAAAGTGGTGACAGTGACAGGTTCAGGATCCAAAGAGATCAGGGAGACTAGACCAAAACCTGGATCTTAGGAATTCACCAGGAAGCAACATGCGTCTACCTTTGGAATTAAAACAAAAACAAAAACAAAACTATACAAATACGGGGTGGAGGAGATACAAGAGTTTCGGTTGACTAAGCTCAATGTGAGTCAAGGAAGTGGGATGGAAGCACTCCCTCCAAACCGCGCACAGACACACACATATGCACACACACACACAAAATGAGGCACTTAGACTACCTAAGGAGAAAACATTGGGGCGAGTCCTGCCACACTGTGGTTGTGAGTGCCAGAACCACACCTGAAGAGTATCGATGGTGTGTAGCATTCAGGTGAGCATGCCCAACCCTGAGGAGGGGTGCAGTCAGTTAGAAACGGTGGAGAGGACTTCATGAGAACGTTTAGCCTGGAGAAGAAGAGGTGGGGGGCAGCACTCTGAGATGGCCTAGCACTATGAGAGCAACCCTAAGGCCAGGAGGTAAAAGCTACAGGGAGACAGACTTTAGCTCCTACAGAAGAACAGACTTTCCACAAGTGAGAGCCCCCCAAAGGTAGAGGGCTCTCCCATCACTGGAGGTCTCAGCAGAGGCCCAATGGCCATTTGACAGGGGTGCTGGAGAAGGGAGTCAAGCGCCTAGCTGGGGCAATATGACTTCTAAGGTCCTTCTGAGTCTAGGCTTTGGTGACTCTGTCAGTAGAACAGCTTTGAGTGATTTGCCTCGTCTGGGCTACTTCCCATTTCTGTGTCCGCCATTTTGATCCCAGTGTTGCACCCCTCACCGGAGCTGAATGTGGCCTCATATCTCAGAACCACTAGCAACTTGGTCAGAGCTGCCCTGTCGGGTCCTGCTTTTTAGATGAGTAACCCAACATCCCGATGGCTAGTCCCCTGACCAAGGTCACACACTTTAATGGGTAGTACCTTGACTAGACTAAGACCCTCTAAATACCTTCTTTCTTTCTCAACTCACTTGCTTTGCTGCACCTTTACTGGAGCAAAATCATTCTCTCCACCCCGAGCCATCCCATACTCCTAGTTCTGTTCGGTGGGTAACAGAGTTCCATTGATGTGCTGAAGAAAAGTGCCCAAGAGAGAGTGGAAACTTCCAGCCAAGTTTCTTGGCATCTTCCTCTGCCTCGGTGAGAGAAAAGCCGTTCTGTTACATAAACTAATTTCCAGCTCCTTGACCCCCCAGGTCAGTTTGACAGAAGGATATACTTTGTTATAAGTTATTATTTTGTTCTTTGTAAATACAAGATGTTTATAGGAAATGTGTATTCTGAACTTTATGGGCAGAATGAGTCACTACACCAAAATAGTTCTATTATTTAGAATATGTTAATTTTAAAGGGACCTAATAGGTATTTATTTACATATACAATCCACATTTGTGTAAAATCATTTGATCCTACTAACCCAGCTTCCTGCAAAGTTGCGACACGACGTCCTAAGTTCATAGTTACGATTTAGTATACTGACTAGCCAAATTCTTTGGGTTTCAAGATCGAATATAAATTACTCTGCTTTTCGACTCGTTCAGGGGCTCTTACTCCTGGCCTTGTACCTGAAACAGGTCTGTGTGCATCGCCACCTTTCCATCGTAAATATTATGTTTGCTCATATAATCTGCCCTCCTCTCGTCATCCCCAGTTGGAGAAGGAAATATAAGGGTCTTTCTCATCCCTTCTCTTTGTCTTGCCTCCGTCGTAGAATCACCAACACTAAGTTGCTCGGGAGGCGTGGTCAGAGCAGTGGGTGAGTCAGGGGCCGCTGTCAGGGGCTCTGCTGGGACTGCTGGGGTGGGGGCTCTGGGTTGTCCTGTCACCTACACAGCGAGGAGCAAGGGACCCACTAAATACTCCACTGCCTCCATGTCACCCTTAGAGCGTTAAATTATTGTTTAAGCAGGTCGGGTGGGGGTAGAAGGTGAATTCTGTGAGTAAATGCAGTCTGTTTTCTCTTCAGCAAAAATGACAACTATTTTTGTGTATGACTAATTTATTTTTATGATTGTAAAAATACAATAAACTGGTTAAATGATCCGCTTTAACACGTCTGTGCTTTCTTGGCCCTTATTTCATTTCTACTCACATTGCTTCAAACGGCCCCCTCTAAAAAGAACCTCTAAAAAGAACCTTTAGAGGTCCGTTGGCTTGTCAGACTGGTTCTGAGCGCTCTGCCCAACGTGGGGCCACTTGGAGAACGCAGAACACCTTCCCTACGAAGGACGTTAGCCTTTAGGCTGCTTTAGCTTTACCTGGTCCTCAATCTGGGCTGTATGTTAGAATCACCTGAGGAGCTTAAGATAAGCTGTTCAGGTGTGTGCACCACCCCCAGGAATGCACTCTTACAGATATTTCCTTAAACCTCCCCAGGAGGCAGGAAAGTTGGGACCCACTGCACCCATTCATTGTGGCCCCAGTCTCTTCAACCGAATAAAACTTCTTCCAACTCCCCTTGGGCCGGTTTCACCTTGGTCTTGAGTTTAGCCAAGTGTTTGACAAAATCTTTCAGGCTCTCTTGGTGCCTAATAAAGTGAGGCATGACTTAGGTCCTCGTGTCCACTGAAAGCCATCCTGCACTGGAGACAGTCTCGGGTGGAGTCTGTCCTTGACTCCGTCCCGCGCAGTGTTCCATCAGTAACTCTCAGAAACTCATTATTGTGCCTACAGTGGGCTTCCCGGCCCTCCCACCCACCTTCCCTGCCTGGAAAATCTCCACACAGTCTCGTTTGTTTTTGATTGTGGTAAAATTCCCTTAACCTAAAATTCACTATTTTAACCATTTTGAAGTGTACCTTGCAGTGGTATTTAGTGCATCCACAGCATGTGCAGCTAACGCTGGAACATTCTCAGGACCCCCAAAGTCCATTCTTTCTTCAACACCCAAATCAGGGCTGAGGGTTCTTACCAAATCTTCATAGCAGACCTAGCAAGCTGTAACGTTATCCCCTTCTGGAAACAGAGCATTGAGATGCAGAGTCTCCAGCGAAGCCTTGGTGGCTCGAGGACTCTACAGTTGGCTCCCCATCGAGACAGGCCTGTGTCTCTCCCAGCTCCATCTCTGCGGGGCCTGGCATGTTCTATGGTCCCAGCATCTGTTAGTTCCAGTCTCTTTCTCCACATCAATTCTGATCAATGGACATAACTGCACAAGCACTGAACGGCGTGCTTAGCTTGTTGGTGAAAAAGTGCAACGCTGTGTAGCTTACTCAGGCTCCCTCTGACCGATATGATCGTAGGCTGCATTTGAAGATACACAGCTGCCCCCAAGAGAGAGACAGCAAGCCTGCTCTGTTCTAGGGGTCAGACCCAAGCTGCAACCCTCGGTCTCCCAATTTTAGGCACCACACATCATACAAGTTCATCCACCATCAGGAAAGAGTCCAGAGGATGGTGGCCAGGAAGGGGGTGGGAGGGATCTGGAGAGGAAACTGTCTTCAACCATCTCCAGATATCTCAGGGACAGCCAGGGACAGACAAGAAACTGGACACCTCCAGCATATCAGCAGAGAGAAGGGACAGGGAGTCAGACTTGCTTCCCATAATAGAGACGCTTAACTGGGAAAAGACATTTCAACAGACAGTGAGATACTCAAAAAAGAGTAATCAGCAAAGGAAATTTTAAATATGGACTGTATTTAAGATGATGCAATCGAATCCATGTAAAACTTCTCGGAGGTGATGGCAGCGTTTGGTCAAGCAGGAGTACGTGTCTACTGCAGTATTTAGGGATGAAGGTCACAACGCCTGCAATGCACTTTCATGTAGGTCAGTAAAATTTGTGCGTGCACACGTGTGGAGAGAGAGAATACGTGCAAATAAAGTAAAACACACTTTGGTATTAGTGAACGGTATGTGGTGTTCATTATACTTTTCCAAGGTTTGAAATTTTCTAAAGTAAAAAGGGGGTGCAGATAAAGAACAAAAAGAGGATAAGGAGAAGAACTCACATTTCGGCAAAGTTTTTCACATTTGTCTAATGATTGGGGCACCTGGGTGACTCAGTCAGTTAAGCATCCAACTCTTTTTTTTTTTTTTTAAGATTTTATTTATTTATTTGAGACAGAGAGAATGAGAGAGAGCACATGAGAGGGGGGAGGGTCGGAGGGAGAAGCAGACTCCCTGCTGAGCAGGGAGCCCGATGCGGGACTCGATCCAGGGACTCCAGGATCATGACCTGAGCCGAAGGCAGTTGCTTAACCAACTGAGCCACCCAGGCGCCCAAGCGTCCAACTGTTGATTTCAGCTCAGGTCTGATCTAAAGGTCATGAGTTCCAGGCCCACGTGGAACCCCCTTAAACATTTTTTTTGTTTAATGATAAGAATCACCTGGAGTGCTCATTCAGCCCTCCCCACCACAGGTGTGTGCCTCCCCCAGAGGAGAGCACAGCGGTCTGTACGGCTAGCCCATGCCCCAAGTGATCCTTACCATCACTAAGGCTGGGAAACCCCAATTTATTGAGCACCTGCTTTGTGCCAAGCATTATCCAGGTCCTTTACGTAATTCAACTTAATCTTCACAGCAACACGTATGCGGCAAGCACTTCATTTTGTGATCATTTTGTGGATAAATAAATTGGGATTCAAAGAGAATAAGTACCCTGACCAAAGACATGGCTATCCAGTGGCAGGGGCTGTCTTGGGTTTCCCTGAAGCCTCGTTGTGTACTGGGACTTTTTGTTCGTTTAAGTGATGTCGGGACCCCCACCCCCAGATATTCCAGTTGTTTGGGGTGGGGACCAGGCACTGGTGGTTTTAAAGCATTCCCAAGAAATTGTAGCCAGGACCGAGAACCACCGAGGACCACCGAGAAGGGTGTGTCTCACTGTTTAATGTGTATATGAATCACCGGGGATCTTGTTAAATTTAAGGTTCGGAGTCAGTGAATGCTGGGTGGGACCTGAGTCTGTATTTCTAGCAAGTACCAGGGTGAAACTGCTGCTTTGAAAATGAGGCATTCAACACTGAGAAAGTTGCAGGTTTTCTTCTTTTTATTGAGAAGTTGAGCACATGACCACATGTGCTGAGATTCTTTATAAAAGCCTTCTTTAAAATTCAGATTCTTGGATTTAACCCACCAGTTTACCCCTTCAATCAAGAAAACGTAGAGACTCTGAAACTCTTTTAAGCCTGTACTCATGTGTCATTCGTGATGCAGTTTTTTCAAACAGGAAAAACAGACAACCTGTGTGTCATTCAGGCATCCGTTGGCCACACGCGAAAGAAAGCCTGACTATCCTGACTCGGGGATTTATTTTTCTTTTACAACAAGAAGTCTGGCTGGCGTTGGTTAGTGACTCAGCAGTTTTGGGGCCAGCTTCTTTGCAATTCTCTTGGCCTCTTCCTCATGGTTACAAGACAGCTTCTCCTGCTCCAGCTATCACATCCATCTTCAGGGGAAGAAGGAGGAAGGACAATTGCAGGTGCATTGGCCTCCGTGTACTAAGAAAGCTAACACTTTCCCAGAAACCCCTCCCATACCCAACAGGCTTCCACTTAGATCTCATTGGCCAAAATGGGTTCCATGGCTGTTCCTACCTACAAAGGAAACTGGGAAGACAGAGAAAGGATTGTCATGATTAGTGTGAACCAATTAGGATCCACCACCGGGTGCTGGACTCACAGCTGCTCTGGGCACAGTTGGGATTCTGTGAGCAGAGACACAGGAGGGGACAAACATGGATGAGGCCACCAATGATGTCTGCCCTTAGTGAGCACTGACTTCTGGACAGGAGCAATCGAAGGTCAAACACCACAGCCTCTGTTCATCTTTGGCCTGTCGAAGAGCTACTCCTTCAAATGGGTTCAGGCCGTCCATCTCCCTTTATGCAACAAGTATTTCTTGGGGCGCCTGGGTGGCTCAGTCAGTTGAGTGTCTGCCTTCCGCTCAGGTCACGATCTCGGGGTCCCGGGATCGAGCCCCGCATCGGGCTCCCTGCTCTGCAGGAAGCCTGCTTCTCCCTCTCCCTACCCCCTGCTTGTGTTCCCTCTCTCGCTGTGTCTCTGTCAAAAAATAAATAAAATCTTTTAAAAATAAAATAAAATATCCTAATAAAAAACTAAAGACAGTGAATGAATGTCATTAAAAAAAAAATCAGGTGATAGGCACCTGCTGGCTCAGTGGAGATGCAACTCTTGATCACAGGGTCATGAGTTTGGGCCCCACACTGGGTGTGGAACCTACTTTAAAAAAAATTTTTTTTTTTAAAAAAGACAGGCACTGGGGCGCCTGGGTGGCTCAGTTGGTTAAGCGACTGCCTTCGGCTCAGGTCATGATCCTGGAGTCCCTGGATCGAGCCCCGCATCGGGCTCCCTGCTCGGCAGGGGGTCTGCTTCTCCTTCTCTCTGCTCACGCTCTCCCTTTCTCTCTCTCAAATAAATAAAAAATATTCAAAAAAATAAACCACAAGTATTTCTTGAGCACACACTGTGTGCTGAGCACCACTTTAGGTACTGGAGACCTATGAGTCCTGTGGACCTTACAAATTGCTGTCCATTTGCAGGTAGGGAGACCCCCCAAAGGAGTCAGATGGAGTGAATGAGCCAGTCTGCTGACACGAATGGCAAATAAATGGACATCAAATTTGGCTCTTTTCTAATAGCTGTCATGGGTGTTGCAGTACAGATCTTCGTAACCAGGCAGTTAGGGAACTCACACTTAGCCTCCTCTGGGCAGCATTATTTAACACGTGGAGCCACCTTGACAGCTGGGTACTATTCTCTCCGTTTTACAGCTGGGAAAGCCAAGTCTCACCAGATTAGGAAATTCACTCACAATCACACATTCCTGGTGGCCAAAGAATTCGAACCCGGGTCTGTCTGATCTTCATTGCTGTGTCTGTTCCTCCCCATGGTACTACCCGCTCTGCAAGAATTGCAGAAATCCACGCATAAGACAAAAACTCCCTTTAAAACTAAACTTGGGCCAGAACATATTCCTCGAGCTTGTGGTCCACGTTACAGATGCTGACGACGGTGGCTTCACAAGGGTTCTCGGGCTGGAGGTGGAGAGCCCAAGGACGATGGGCAGCCCACCTCTCTGATACCT